ATCGTAATTTCATTCATATAAATGAGTTTACAGATATGTTGATTATATATATTGAATACACACATATATATGTGTGTGTGTGTTCAATTATTGTTATGTAAATGACAAATAGAGTTACATGGGATAAACGAACAAAAGAAATTGGGTGTAACCAACGAAAATGAATAGTCTAATTAATTTAATGTTTTGATAATAATTACATCAATAAAAAAAAAAGCAAAGTTCGAGAAAAAGAAAATTAGATTGCGATGCCTAAAAATGTCATTTTATTGTTGATGTTTTTTCTTACAAAATTACAAATTAAAAAACTATAAAAAACATAAAAACAAAAGTGAATCTACAACAAAAACAAAAACAATCAAAATTCTCACAAAATTCTAAAGCCTCAATGGAGACTTCTTCTTAATCCAAGTTCCAATGCCTTCTTACATATAATGATAAACTCGTGTATACTCTTCTGCCATAGATGAGAGATGGAAAAGAAGAGGGGAGAGCGTACCAGTAATTTAAAGCTCGTACATGGAGATGGAGAACACATAAATGAAAAAAAACCAAAGATTGAAGGGTTTAAATATTGAAGTTGAAACGTTCCAAGAGAAATGGAAGAGTTTTTGAGTTAAATGTGAAAATTAATTGGATTTAAATATTGAAGGTGAAACGTACCAAGAGAAAGAGAAGAGTTTTTGAGTTAAATGTAAACATTAATTTGCAAAATTACTAAGAAAAAGAAGTCAAAATGTGGAAAAAAGAGAAAAATACGATATTTGCATCGAGGAGATGCCACGTCAACCTATCATGATTTTGCTTTATAGATATATATAGATTAAAATAATCAGAAAACAAAGAAAGTGAGTAAAATGACCATAATACACCTCATTTAATTGGACTTAATGGAAAAAGCTAACGACCGTTAGAAGGAAGGACAAAAATCGTTGCAAGGTAACAAATGTGAAGGATAAATCCGTTAAAATGAAGTTTAGGGACGAGAACCGTTAAAATTGACAAACGTTAGGGGCCAAAAGTAACCTTTACCCTATTTGTATAATTTAAATTTGAGTAAAATTCATCTTTAGTCCCTAATATTTATCAATTTCAACAAATATTATCTCTAACCTTGTTGCTTGTACATGAAGGGTGCGTTTGGTACGCTGGACAGGGTGGGACAGGACAGGACAGAACATATTTGTCTTATGTTTGGTGTGGCTAAATGTAGAACTAAGTTGGACAAGCATGAGACAAGCGTGTTCCACCATTACCCCTGGAACTAAATGGAACACAAAACTTTTTCCCTCTTTACCCCTTCTTCCCCTCCATCGCACCCTCCATCGCACTCCATGCTCAGACTGCCTCCATCGACGACTGCCTCCATCGCGCCGATTGCCTCCATCGCACCGACTGCCTCCATCGCACCGACTGCCTCCATCGCACACCCTCCATCGCACCGACCCTCAATCGGCGACGGGAGTTCTAGTCCATACACACAGTCCGACGGCCTCCATCGCACACCCTCCATCGCACCGACCCTCAATCGGCGACGGGAGTTCTAGTCCATACACACAGTCCGACGGCCAAAATCGCACACCCTCCATCGTACCGACCCTCAATCGGCGACGGGAGTTCTAGTTCATACACACAGTCCGATGGTGTATGAATCGATTTTGGCCTAACCTTCTCCTTCTCATTCTCCTTCATCAGGTACACGATTGCCCTAACCTTCTCCTTCTCATCGCTATGTTTGAATCGATTTAGGGTTTGCTAGATTTGAATCGATTTAGGGTTTGCTTTGCAAAAATCGGCTGTTTAATCAAGCTTTAGCAATTCAAATTGCAATGGGATTGTTTGTGGTGTATATGGATATCTGATCAAGATCATATGGAAACAATACATTCTGCAATAAGATTGATTTTGGTGAAAAAACAGTAAACAGCTCACTGAGGGTAAATTGGTCATTTTAACCAGTTCTGTCCTGTCTTACCAAATGCTGAACAGCTGTCCTGTCCCGTCCCGTCCCATTCTGTCCTGTCTGCGCACCAAACGCACCCGAAGAGTATTTTAGTTATTTTAAACATTTTTATATGATGACTAAATACCTCTAATTTAACTAGGTGACAATGGATTTGACAAAATAATGTTTAAATGACTAAAGAGCCGTTTACCTAAACACTCACCAAGTAAGCGCTTACCATTATGAGTCAACACTATAATTTATTTTACCGTATAAGATTGTAATACATCAAAATGGTATCGTATGCAACAATTTATCCGATAAGCACTTACCCGGGTAAGAGTCGTCACCCTCATTTATCGAATAAATCTCTTCATCTTTATCATTGTTCTTACCCGGTAAAATTTTTGACCCTTGTCATGTTCATCCAGTAAGGAAAGTTACCTGGTAAGCACTTTCCGGGTAAACATTTAGTAAATGGCCCCTAAAATTGTTCTTCATTTAGTTGAACTTAACAGGAAAAGTTAATGATTGTTAAGAGGAGGGACCAAAACAGTTATAAAATATCAAACATGAGGGATCAAATCCGAGTTTCTAATGTTAAATGTTATGTGTTAAATCGACAAACGTTATAAACCAAAACTGAAGTTTAGTCTCTAAATTTTTGATCTATTAATTTTAACATTTTGCATCTCATTAAAAATTAAATCCAACGTAGCCAAAACCCTAGACATTTCCCCCATCCGGCTTCAACCTCACCAGTCTACTACCGGGTACCTCCTTCAACCTCTCGTCATTTCATCACCTTCATAGGTTCGACTTTTGCTTCGACTTCCATTCTTTTATGCCTTTCAATCTTCAATCTGCTTCTCGTGCTGTTCAATTACATTGAAACCTTTGAAACCCTAATCCCAAATAACAAGAATAGGGGAGATGCTACTTATAACTGCCTGAGACGGCTAGGTATGTCCCAGAAACTTGATTTTGAGGTGATAATTTACAAATCAGTTATCAATATGCATGGATTTGTTTTGTTGTTGTGGTCACAGTGCAGAAATGAAGCTATCGGGAACCCAAAGCGTGATTTTTGTCCACATTATAGTTTTTAATCTCCATTTCTTCGATTTGCTTGTGCGTTATGCTGCCACCATGGTACTGCATGAATGCTTGATGATTTTTACCACTGTTATGTGATAATCTTACTTGTTCGATTTGATTAGTGATTAGTATTGTTTCTAACGAAAAAAACAACTTGTTGACCCTGGATTTGCCACCGGGATAATGCATTCAAGATGTTCTTTAAATTCGTTTCCAGAGAAAAAAAAAACATGTGTTTTATCTAGACCATTATTCAAAGCTAGTATTCTGTTAGACTCTTGACCTGTTACCTTGAATTGGATTATGCAATCTCATGCCCAATTTAAGTTATGTTTGGTTTTTATCACATGTACTTGATTAATTAAAGAATCCCTGATGATCCAAAGTTTAAACATGACCGGGAATCGGTGGTTGATGTGTTGATCAGACTATTGGTGTTCACTTGTACCATATATAATATTTTATGTCTTGTTTAGTTCGTTTAATTTATTTTGTAGTTGAAGTTGATTTCTAAAACGTGACAGATTCTTGGTTCGTACTTGATGGTTTGCATATTTTATTTTCATTTGGAATTTAAAGCAGGCATTCAATTCTTAACGGCAGAAGTATTTTGATTTTTATTTAAAGCATGGAACTGGATCGAAATATGTCTGCTGAGATTTGAATTTGGTTCCAAAAAACTGGAACTGGTCGGAGGTGTTTTGGTTCGTGCCTTTCGTCTAAATCAAACAAATTGAATTGTGTACCCCCCTAAGCACCACCACAGACATTTTATTTGTGCCTTTCTATTCTTAACATGGTCAACTTTGCAGTATAACAGAACTGGTTTTTCTGTTTACAAACATATAGCCTTAGTCTGTACTCCTTCTGCCAGGCATACTGAACGAAATTTCTTTGCAGGCACCACCATAACACATGTGCCTAGTATGGACCTGACACAGTAAAAATAGTGTTCCTGTAGTTGACAGAATAATGTCTACGATCAACATTATGAGCAAATCACGAGTGTCCAAAGCAATTCTCAGCCGGTTGACACCTACTTATTCTTTTTCTCGATCTTTTTCTGCATCACAACCATGGCAGCGTGTTCTCCCCAGCCAAACAGGGGAATTGAGTATGAATCACATAGGATCTTCCCTTCCTCGGAATTGGAATAGACTATTCTCATCCATAGCTCCCTCCTTTGCCACCGGTGATAGAATCGTCCGTGAGCTCTTAGCCCAAGTCGAGAGGGAAAAGCAGAGGGAGAGAGAGCAGAGAAAAAAGGCAGGGTTGGGTACGGCTGATATAGACGCCGAAGATGATGAGGATTACATGGGAGTTGGTCCCCTAATTGAGAAACTGGAGAAGGAGAATCTCAAGCATGTTGACCCTCGTATCCTTAACATGAGGGAGGAGCCCACTGATTCAGAAAGTGAAGAAGATGACCATAGATTCACTTATGAAGCCATTCAACAACGACAAGAAATATTGCAGAAGAAATTAAATCGTTATGAAGAGCTTCTTAAGAATTTTAATGAGTCGGGTATGTATGTTCGTTTGCCTTTTTGTGTACTAGAGTCATATTTATGCAAAGGTGCTTTTATTTTCTTAGCTTGTAGCACTTTCTGTTTTTACACATGTTCCATTACTTTTAGTCATCACATTCCTGTTAATAAGACTATGCTGAAAGTTTTTTTTTTTATGGCAATACTCTCGTTGATCAGATAATATTGATGAATTTTTCAAGTGGATGAATAAAGTTGACAAATTTGAGGAGAAACATTTAAACCCCCGATCTGAGTATCGTGTTATTGGTGATTTGATGAACCGGCTGAAAGAAGCCACCGGCAAGGATAAATTTCTTCTCCAACACAAGCTGAATAGGGCTATTAGATTAGTTAAGTGGAAGGAAGCCTACGATCCTAATAATCCTGCCAATTATGGAATCATTCAAAACATGCAGTCGCAGCATGATCCTTCTGAAGATTCTGATGCTGAAAAGGAAAGGCAATTGATAAAAGGTGCATTGGATGAGGACGACGAGGAAGAATTTGATGACATGAAGGAACATGATGATATTCTGTTAGAGAAGATAAATGTCATTGACCGGAAGCTTGAGGAGAAGCTAGCACTGTTGGATCACACTTTTGGAAGAAAGGGCAAGGTATTGGAGGAGGAGATAAGAGATCTTGCTGAGGAGAGGAACTCATTGACTGAGAAGAAAAGAAGACCTCTTTATAGAAAAGTAAGCGTGTTACCCTTGAGTTAATTATCCACTAATACTAGATACATAGTTTGGTTGGTACCAACTTTCTTCCTTCTCTATGCTTATTTTTCTCCATTATTAAAATTTGCTAGTTTTGGCATGCTGATAGATGTGAGATCCCTTTTGGCCCTTCTGTTAGAATAACTCTCCTAACTGATATATAAACTAAATGGTGAAGAAACTTCTTCATTGCTCAAGATTGTAAGTTTGTAATGAACAGCAGGACCTTATGCTTCTGGTTAACTTATTGCCGTACATATCTCATTTAATTTCTGGTGGACATAATAATAGAGTGGAGCGGGTTGGGGTGGATTAAGAGTGGAATTATGTGAAGCTTTTTTTGTACCATATAAGAGAACAGTTTGAAGCTTTCTAAATGATGAAATGTTAGTTTAAGTTTGTAATATCCAAAGTAGAAATTCCATCATTAGCTTTAGGATTATGTGAGTAATACATTAAATGCTGAAACCTCACTGTCTAATATTGTGCACGTCCAGCACCGGTCTAGTATATACTCTGTCAGGTTTGTCTTTTAATGCAGTGTAAACAAACATATTTACAGTTAAGCTGGATTAGACTTCTTATGCTTTGCCATTATGCAAATTGATAAAATCTCATCAATGAACATCTTTATGGTTGATAGAGTATGCTATTAAAAGTTTTACTATCACTTCTAGAAATGGTAGTCTTTATTATTGTGTGTATTCTTAGGTGATAGGCAATATGCTGTTAAAATCGTGATATATCGCCGATATATCGGATATCGGTCTCTGGGAAAATATCGGCGGTGACATATCGGTCCCGATAATATCGCCAATATTTACTGATATTTTGATGGAAACATTGGTCCGATATACCGATTTTCTACAAGGCAAATGTTTGAGATTTTTTATTACATGTTAGGCTTAGTTTTTTGGGCCTCTTTATTTGGTCAACCAGTCAACACATATATTAGGTCTCACGCTTCTTCTCTTCTCAATTCTCATAGTTCATGCTTCTTCTCTTCTCGGTTCTTTCATAGTTCACGCGTCTTCTCTTCTCGGTTCTTTCATAGTTCACGCTTCTTCTCTTCTCGGTCCTATTTTGTTTTGTGAGACTTGTTTATGTGATGTTTTAATTTTGAAACTATATTTTTAAACTCTAGTTAATGCATATGATATGTTCATGGATGCATACACACAGATATAAGAAGACAAGTGTCCAAGAACATTCTTTTTAAGCTTATTGCCCCTAATGATGAATGGGTTGTAAATGTGCATGTAACTTTCTCTTTATGCATGTGAAAATATACAATCTTCAACCTTCTTTACCATATTGCTAGTATTCTTTCACGTATGTTTATTGAATTTGCTCACCATGTGGGACTTTGTGCATAAAAAATTAAATTCCTCTCGTCTATACACACACACAACATATATATATATATATATATGTATTATAATATGTTATATCTAAGGTTCATTTTGTTTAATGGCAGGGTTTTGATGTGAAACTCATTGATGTTAATAGGACATGTAAAGTTACAAAGGTAAAAAGACATGTTAAAATTATTTGTGACGCGTGGAAGGCGTTTACAATTGTGATTCTTTTGTATAGGGAGGTCAATTGATTAAGTACACCGTAATGCTTGCTTGTGGGAACTATCATGGCGTCATTGGTTTTGCTAAGGCAAAAGGCCCAGCAGTTCCCATTGCGTGTCAGAAGGTAATTTGAATGAATTTGATCAATTATAATGCCGTAATGTAGCAATCATGTAGGATCTGTTTGTGTCATCTGATGTCTGTCTTGCTGTTTTTTTGTATCACATTGATTTCACAATAGGCTCAAGAGAAATGCTTTCAAAACCTTCATTATGTGGAACGACATGAAGAACATACGATTGCACATGCCATTCAGACTTCTTATAAGAAAACCAAGGTTTGCAATGATATTGCCATCTTCCCTCTCTGACCAACCTTGAGAAATGGAAATTAGAAACAAATGTGTTTGTTTTATGCATTTCTTCTCTTTTAGGTTTATCTTTGGCCTGGGCCGACTCAAGGTGGCATGAAGGCCGGCAGAACCGTCCAAACCATCTTAAATCTTGCTGGATTAAAGAATGTCAAATCTAAGGTAATACAACTCAATTCTCATTCATACTCGTTATATGAACATTTTTTTCAGGTCTTCTCAGAAACAACTTCTCTGTCTTTTGAGACAGGGGTAAAGTTTGCTTACATTTTACCCCTCTCAGACCCTCCGGATGGGAGATTATGGGTTTGTTTGGTTTTGCTGGTTCTATGAACAAGATCTCAGGAGTTGTAACCTTTGGTATTTTAGGTTGTTGGGTCGAGAAATCCACATAACACAGTGAAAGCTCTTTTCAAGGCCCTGAATGCGGTAAGTAGCATACACACACATATGTATGGTCAGGTTCAAGGAAAAACTGCAAAAAATGAAAAACGGAGGAACACCCTTGTAACTTTCATCTGGATGATATGCACATGTGCATGAAAATCATTTATAAGCAATTTGTCCGGTATGCACACGTGCATAAAAAACAAGAAACAACTTCAATTACTTGTGCACTTGTATGCACGTGGGCATACTGTCCAGATAAATGGTTACTATGTGTTCCTCAATTTTTTTATTTTTTGGGGGTATATTTCAAATGCAACCATGTCCATTTGTACAACCAATGCAACCCAATTAATTGAGATATTTATAGAAATGATGAGAGTTCATTTATTATGATTTGAATATTTATGGAAGATGAATAGGGTTCATTAATTATGATCAATACTTTATATTAGGAAACAATCAAAACTTTCATGAAATCACATATTCATCAAATTAAATGGACAATTGAGATTGAGTTGTATTGGTTGTACAAATATAAAGGGTTGTATAATAACCCACCTCTCTCTCTCTCTCTCTCTATATATATATATATATATATATATATATATATATATATATCTATATCTGCAACACATAGCATCCATTTGGGGTGCCCTCTTTTAAGGATCTCCAAAACTACAAGATATGATGGACTTCTATTTAAGACTGTTTTGGTTCATCATCTTTCCAGATAGAAACTCCCAAAGATGTGCAAGAGAAGTTTGGGCGGATTGTGGTGGAATCATATTTGCTATGAGTCGAAATTCGAGAAACATTAGTGTGTTTGCTAGCCATGGATGATTTTGGACCGATGAAAACCACGACAAGAGACCATTGGCAAAATGAATAAAGTTGACGTCGTCTTTTCCTTCATGTTCGTTTCCGACCTTATAACCGTTAGACGATGAACTGACCCGTGACAGGTGTTTCAACAAGTTCTTGGTTTGATTATGCACCTGTTTAGTCCCTAGTTTGGATTGGAGGGAGGCGAGCGGGGTATATATACATATAACTATATGTATGTCCTCTCTTTACGTTGCTCGGCTGTGTGTGCTCATCGATTCGAGAGCTGGAATTTTACGTATGCATAACACATGAGTTTTACATCGTTAATTTATAGTTTTTCATCATCATTTTAAGACCGCTGAGCTCTCTATTTTGACCATCAATTAAGCCTTTATATTTTTCGAGTTTGCTGAAAAACCTCGTTTGGTTAGCTTTTGAAAAGTTATTTCAAGAGGTGTTTTATTAAAATTATCAAGAATCATAGCAGTTTTTTTATTAACGTAAATATCCAAGCTGCTATGCGAGCCGATTAATCCTAGAGCAACCACCCGTTTCGTGGGTTGTCTGGAGTCACCGTATCTGAACTTCCGTGGCCGCAAAAGAATTTTTATTTTTCATTGGATTTGTTTTACATAATTTTTATTATTAAACATTTGACAAAAACTATTAAAAACCATTTTTTATGCATGAAGTATTGTATATTGATGTATATTACTTAAAATTTCAAGATTATAAGTAAATTATACACAAGTACAACTTATTAAAGCTTCACATTTAAATTCGTGTAATTAACTGTGGGTAAATATAATCAAATAGATGATAAACATCTCATTTTGAAATATAAAGAATTTAAAATATAATTAGGATAATTATCGAGTTCTAACAAAATAATTAATTATTATTTTTATAAAAAAATTATATTATTAAACCAAATATAAATTACTTCGTTATTGAACCTAAGTTAAATTATAATTAAAAAATTGAATTAAAATTTACACAAAAAACGATGAATTTTAAATAGTTAATTTGATATTAAAATCGATATATTTTTGTCAATTTTTTATGATATCTTCAAATTTATATTTTATTAAAAAATAAAAACGTTATCGTTTTTTTAAAATCATATAAGACCATATTATAACATCGACTGAAATAAAAAATAAAATAAAATATTAAAATCAAGATATATCTCGTTGCATTACACGAGTATATACAAATATTTAAACTCATTAATTGCTTTGAGTGGAGAGGGATCTGGTTTACATAACTATCATTCATATATTTTTATGTTTATTTAAAATAAGAGGTTATGAGGTCTCAAGTAGGGGTGCTCACGGTCCGGGTTGATTGGTTTGAAGCCGTTTTAACAACTCAACCCAATGTTGGCGGTTTGAAAATTTTAAACCCAACCCAACCCAACTCGTTCGGGTTGACCGGGTTGTGTTTAAACAATGTAATATCACATAAAAATAAAAGAAACTTTCCTTTGAAATACGACCGACCATTCAAGATAATATGCAAGTTCATCAAATATTTAGATATTACAATAAAAATGTTTAAACCAAATGATAATACATCAATCCACAACAATAGTTTTAGACGTTTCCAACCTCAATGCTTTCGCTTTCTTGACGTTGAGGTTGGTCATGTTATGATTGTCATCTACAATTCAAAGCTAAAGTTAAGGTTGGGTTCATCGGGTTGTCGGGTTGGTCGGGTTTTTTTAGGCCTGACCCGATTCCAACCCAATAAGGTCGGGTTGGCTAATTTTTTTATCGATCATGCAT